GTTCTATATTTAATCAAATCTATAAATTAAATTCATATCATTTTTTTTAAGGACCGTCGTTTGAAAGAAAAAGAAGCTCGTCGTGCAGCTCGAGAAGCTAGACGTCGTCAACTGGAAGAAAGTGAAGAGGAAGAAGGCGAAGAAGAAAAAGAAAAAGAAAAAGAAAAAGAAACGAATTCAAATGATGAAGATCAAGAATCTCCTACAGATGAAAATAATGAACAATCAAGATCAGAAAGGTTCATAATAATATTCAAAATAAAACAATAAGTTTATTGAATTTATTTTTAGAAAACGAAGTTTATCACCTGTTGAAACAAAAAAGAAAAAGAAAAAACAACGTTCATTAACAGAATTCATTAATGAAGATACTACTAAAACTATTAATGATACCGAACAACTTGCTCTGTATTTGTTATCAAAATAAAATGATTATCACTGTTTTGTGATTGTGTTTCACATTTCATATTTCTTTCATTGAATTATTCAAATTCACAAAATCCGAAAAAAAGAAAGAAAAATAATATTATCGTCGTTTGTCATTCAGTCATTAATAATTGATTATACTTGAATGTCAAAATGACATGAATTAATCGTTATATTAAATTATAATTTATACTAAAAAACAATTTAAAGATTTTCATACGTCTATAGAGACTGAAGTTAATATGCAAATCAACGCCCTCTATGTGAATATTCTGAGTTTTTTTGAAGAAAAAAAAGTACTCAGATTGTAATAGACTAGTTAATAAATGTCTACACAATGAAATTAATATGGCCTTTTGAAAAAACAGAAATTCGATCGTGCACTATGACAATATAAAGATACATTTACAGTATAAATGGCAGATAGCATGAGTCATACAACGATCTCATTGACAATTTCCTAAATAATTATACCATGGACAGATGGTATTCTATCTATCACGTTTGGTGTGGTATTTAAATAAATATTGATTTTTCTGCTTATTTAAATACACCAACTGTTTTCTAGTTAGCAAATCGCTTGTTTATGACTATTAAATTGCAACAAAATCATAGCAGTAAGTTATTCGCAATAATAATTAAAGAATAAAGAATAGGATTAACTTATAAATAATAAATATATACAAAAGTTAAAATTATAATCGATTTTAATTCATAATTTTAATTCAAATTATGTTATATTCAACGAAGGTTTGTTCCATTGATTTTGTTTGTTTTGAAAAATATTCGAAGTTCTCAGCTGATTCTTAAGACACAACACTTGAGATTTTCGATACATTAACTGCGTAGAAATATGTTTCAGTCTTATCAGTTCACACAAGTGCATATGTATAGAATGAAAAAATAAATAAACAAACAAATGTATCGTCTGTGTAGATGTAGGAGTTCGTAAAAATAAATTAATGGTTTTTCAAAGACCTCGAGAGATTATTTCGTTAAAATACTAAATGATATAACATAAAAATTTTTATTAATAAAATATTCGTTCTAAAGAATATGCAACTATGATTTAATTTAAATAAATATATGTTTTATTTGAATTTCTTTTAGATGTAAAACATGTATTCAGTACGTTCTTATTGTTCTGAAAATATTGAGCTTGATTTACCCACCACAATGTATTCAATAAGACCAATTATACAAGACATAAAAGTAAATAATTTTTGTTTTAATTCTATTGCATATCTTGTGTATGTTGGCGTTTTAATAATGCAAAACGATTTGATACCGGTACATTGAATTCGTATTTATTAGATGATTGTTTTCGTGAATGTTTTGTTGGTGATTGAACTTGATTATTTATTGAATATTGATCATAATATTCAACGAATTTTTCAATAAGATCATCTTTTTTATCGATAAAATCTAAATAACGTTCATAAAAATAACATTGCCGTTGTTTTAATTTCAATATATCACGTTCAATTTCACGCATTTCAAGAAGACATGCGTCAAGTTCACGAGCTAAATAACCTTGATTTTGAAGTTCGTCATGAAATTCTTCATCGAAATTATCTATACGTTTATCTGAAAGAATAGTATTAAGAATAGGTCCAAGTAACATATCGCGTTGTTGATCAGTATCAATTGAGATGAGATTTGGCGAAATATCTTCGTTAGATTTTGTTCTAGTCGAAACTACTGTTGTTGAGCGTATTGGTGATGTATGAAAAAAATGAAATCGATTTAATAAACGACGAACATTGGTTAAATGTTCGAAGACAGTGAATAGTGCAAGCATCGTTTATTGTCGTCAATGTATGATTTTCCCTATATCTTATCCATACCATCTGTTGCTTTTTCTTCTCTCCAATATAATTACCATTTGATGACAATAACATACATAAAGCTCGTTTTTATCGCTCCATCAATGATTTGTTCTGGTCTATTTTAATGGAATAACTTTTTCTTTCTTCTTTCTATTTTAGTATACACCATCGTCATCAAATGATACATTATTAAAAGATATTGAACGACGACAAGATATTTTATTAAAAAAACTTGAACATTTATTTAATGAAATAAGTCAATATGAAAAATTTCAAAAGAACAATCCAAAAGAACCTAATCAAGAAGAATTAGTTGTGCATCTTTCAGCAAAACAACCATCAAAAAATATATTAAATTTTATAGAACAAAATCATAACAAATTTTCAATTCGAACATATCGTCATTCATCATTACATGGTATTTCATTTAATAATCCAATTCAAAATGTATCATCTTCATCAAATAATCGTTTATTAACAATTATTTGGAATGATGACAAGGGAAAT